ATGGCAAATTGCTGGTGCATGCTGTAAGTTCTGATTCAAATCTTGCGTCCAATTCAGGAATCAATCTTATTTTGGATGGTCGTAGTATAAGTTTGTGCAAGCAACCAGCTCCTACTCAGTTGTTGCTAACTGGAGGAATTTTGCTAGCATCAGTATGTGCCGCGGTTAACCATATTGGTTTTGTTTGTGAGGCTTCCTGCAACATTTTAAAGACGCTGAGATCTGATGCTCTAAATATTCTACATATATTTGCCTATCTATGTGGTTCTAAATATATTACCCTCAAAGAGTATGGCTTATCTATGACTGTGGTGAAGTCATTGGTGATGCTTATTCACAACAATAGATCATCTCCTAATCCTCTTTCCAGTGTTGCATCTACAGTTGAGTCTTTGCCTAAGATTTGTTCAGGTAGTAAGTGTCCTTTTTCAGAGGGTGCAGTTTCCATGGATGCTGTTGCATCCTCACTCTTGGATAGTCTTAAGAGTTATTCTTGCTCTGCTGTGGGGTTGGATTTGATGGAATCATTGAATTCATCAAGACATGGAATGAAATGTGATGGAAAGAAAAATGAGGAATCCACAGATAATGTAGATTTAGTACAATCAGCCTATGTTACTTTGGGGGATTCAAGTCAGTTCATTGATACCCTTGCACTGGTGGAGCTTGTTGCAGGTTTCATGGTATGATTCTTATTTTATTAGTATACTCTGTAATCTTGTGAATTTCTATCCTCTTTCGTGGTTCTCTTTTATTTCTCTTGATCTAGGTCTAAAGAAAGTATGAAGATTTGAGTGCTATTATATGATATTTTTTCTTGAATGAATGACATTGCTATATCAGAACACAGTGTCATTTATTTTATAAATTTAAGAAGTTCTGGCTGAATATATTATCAATAGTTAGTGACTTAATCCTCCCAAAAAAATCTTATCACAAGGCATTGGTAAGTACTTTTGCATACTACTGGCTTCTTTGTGACTTGCTAATTTTAATAAAATTATGTTACCTTATCTAAAGAAAAAACATAGTTTCGAGTATTGCTGTCCTTTTGCTTGGAGAAATTTGCAGAAAGGTTTTTCAAATGAATAGTATGATTTTTTGTGCATTCTTATAGAATGTTCCAACATTTTGCACATTGTCTTCCATCATTTTCTAGTATCCATATTTAGGAACCCACTTGCAAGAGGAGAGCCAAAATCAGTTTGATGTTGTTCATTCAGTAGTGGATGCTGATTTTTTAAAAGCAATAATTACTGCACTATTTCTTATTGTTTTTCTGAACTTGGCAACACAACAATACATGGCTTGTACTGAAACCTTATATACAAGATGAACTCCAAACTTCACTGTTCTGTCTATAGAGTCTAAAACATCAATTATAGAGACAGTTTCATTTGAGTATAATTGGTTACACCGAAAACATAACAACAAAATGCAGTTAAGTTTAACTTTCTGCACACTATTCTCCATACTCTCAGAACAGCTAGAACTCCTCTCTTTCCAGATTTCCCACCATATTGAAGCAGGGATAATTCTCCATCTAGCTCTGTCTTTAGCATGTACACCTGCCTCCTCCCAGCTTTTTAGAGCTTCAGTGACTCTCCTAAGCATTGACCAGGAAATGCCTTTGAGGCTAAAGAACACCCTCCATAACTGTTGAGTATATTTGCAGTGTAGAAATAGATGGTTTACAGTTTCTCAGGTTTCCCCACATAGGAAACATGTAGAACATAAGGTTATCCCCCCTTTTCATTACATTATCCTGAGTCAGAGTTGCTTCCTTAGCTAGTAGCCATATGAAGCATGACACTTTATAAGGAATTCTGCACTTCCAAATTTGTTTCCATGCAAGTTGGGTTCTGTTGACTTGGTTGCTCCATCAACCTGTAAGCTGCCCCTACTTTAAATATACCTCTACTGTCACCTTGCCACCATAACACATCCTCATTTGTCTGGAGTCCATTAAATTTCCAACAATGTTGATAAATTCTGCCACCCTCATCACTTCCCAGTCATTAAACTGTCTCCTGAAGTTGAAGTTCCATCCCTGCATTGTCCACATCTCTGCTATGGTCCTTTGTTGAGAAAGAACTAGAATGTAATTATCAGGGAACAAAAGTTCCAGATTACCCATGTCATGCCATTCTTCCTTCCAGAATTCGGTCTTATTCCCATTGCCCACTTTCACCTTAGAGTTGGATGGAAAAGGAGTAACACTTTCTTAAAAGTAAATTTTTGAATCCACTCCAATTCCTAATATCTCAAAATGAGATATTAATATTACAAACACGTTAACTCAAGTGCTTTTGCATCCTGAACATTTGCAGAAGGATGGAAAATCCGAAAGAAAATACAAATGGATTTCATTTAAAAATCAAAATGTATTAAGGTGAATCTTATTAGGAATTGCACCATTTAATTGGATAGGAGTTATATTTCGTTCCCTTTTAATGTTTCAGTTAATTCTCACGCAATTTATCTCTATACTTAGTTGGTTGTGGTTTATTTTGGGCTTGAAAGGTGTAGTTCTCCTGTAGTTTCTTTTCCTTCTATTTTTGTTACTATCCGTTGTCTCTTGTACTTCGATTATCACACTTTTTGTTGTAGAAACTGTTCTTTTTTCCGAATGCTTTGCCATGCTTTCTATAGTATTTTGCCATGATTTCTTCACTTATGTTATTTCTTTTTCGATTTGCTTTGATATGCATCGGAAATAACCTCTCTATCTTCCAAAGTAGGGGTAAGATTTGCATACACTCTACCCTCCTGAGACTCTAGTTGTGGCAGTACACTGGATATGTTGTTGTTGACTAGGTCACATGGTGGTTATGAAATTCTCTCAATTGATTCGTCAAGCAGACATTTATGGGGACCAATTGAAGTTGTAATGCCTACTACTTCTCCACCCAAATTCTTAACTCTTTTAACTCCTATATTGTTGTATTTGAATCTTCTTTATGCTCACTCCATCTTTTGTTGGATCTTTTTCTCAATGGAGGATGTTCTTGGAGAAACATTTTCCTTTTAAAATAATATCTTGCATAAGAAGTTTCTGCCTAATTCTGTTATTTTTGATCTCTCAAGCAGAGCTGGGATTGGATGTTTGACAAAATTGCATGTCCACTATTGAATTTATTGGAATATTGTTCAACAGAGCACAATGCTTCTGCTATTACCACTCTTCTTGGTCAACTTGGAAGGTAACTGACCAAACTTGTTAAATTATTTTCAGCATTCATCTTGTACATAGTGCTTATGTCTTAAATGGGGAAATATGAGAGGGAGCTCTATTGACATTTCGATTGTTATTGATGGCCTGAGCTGCATACTTGTGTTTTTACCATTTTCTGATCATATATGATGTATTCTTTTTCTTTCGGAAATTGAAGCAGCATTTGTTATGAACCAAATCATTGCATTTCTTATGGGATAATATCCTGATCTTTATTATATTTCTCCCTATCCTGTAGTTTTTCCATAGTTCAATATAAGTGGCATTGCTGATATTGGATGCGTTTATAAGTTTTTGTTTGGCCATCCAGAAATCTTTTTGACCAGTTCATCCATCCATACATGTATATGTTGTCAGTTATGTACTCTGATTGATCATAGTACATCTGCTCTGGGAACTGAACGAACTCAAATTATTTCCCAACTGTGTTCCCATTGTTGGTCTATGCTATAGTACTCATGCAAATAAGAACTTTAATGGACACTATTGGCCTGATCTCTTTTGGACTTACGCTAACCTCAGTATTTCATAGATTTGGTAGACAGAATTAGCATAAACCTATCTCTGTCTACAGGTGTTCCAATGGAGAAAAGCTTTAAGACATGGCTATGGACATTAACAGGAAATGATAAAGTTAAAAAAAGGCGTATTTGTGGATAGTTTACTTATATTATATTGTTACATATCAAGAAAATTAGGTTTTTATTGCCTTATAGTCAGCAACATGAGTTAGAACTCTGAGGGGGTGCTTAAAAAGTCTTCTAGGCCTACAGAGATGAATGAACAAACTCATTCTGCATTTGCTAGAGTACTCCTTATCAGCAATAGAAAAGAAGAAACTTCACATAGTAGTTGGGTATCTGAATTTACTTTTGTATGGATGATTTTGTAACCAGCTTTTGGAATGAAATTGACGGGGAACAGAGTTGGAATACCACAAGTCACTTTTTGGGGTATTTGATTATTTTAGAACCATCAGTTGGATGAAATAAATTGACCTTTGGATGGAGGGGTTGTTATTATAACCTCAATGCTTCTATATCTTAATTGTGTTAGTGTTTGTGTTTTATGTTTATAGCGGCGTTACATTTTTTGGTTTTATTCAGTTCATGCTAAACCGACATTTTATCTATGATATTTCTTACAGGCGTGGACTTGAAGCTTTTGGATATGAAGATGTTGGGATTCAGAGATTACGAAGCTCTTTCTGTGCATTACTTTTGCAACGCGACTCCAAAGGAATGGGTCTCCACCTCCAGTTCTCCACTGGAATTGCTTTAATTGGGCTCATTCCTCTCAGGTTTGAGGAACTTGTTGAAAGTAACATTGAAGTTGCACCAGCTGCAAATCCATGTGATCCAACTGATTGCCTAAGAAAGTGGTTCTCTTTATTGAGCTGCGAGCAGCGCTTATTGTTCAAGGCTCGTATATTCTCCTAGTTGCCTAAGGGAGAATGTGCAAGATTGGCAAACAAATTTTGGGGGAGAGCAATAGTTGAAAACTTGCCCATTTGTGTCTTTGTTGATGTTGATAATTTGCAGTAGTTGAGGAGTTGTACAGAAAAGGCAGTTTTTTTTCTTTCTATATGGTCTACCTTTGCCATTTCTGCTTTTGGATATTACTGGGGATTGTTGGGCAATGCCTTTGTTCCAATTGTTCACATTTTGGACAATGTGGAAAATGAAATTGTTAGTATTTTATAAAATTGTCAACATTTGCACCTTAATTAATTAAAAACAAAGGAGAAACTTGACAATGTTTCATTTAAAAAGTTATAGAGCAAGAGGTGGGATACTTTGCTCATTCCTAAAGTAATTTGTTGGATCAACACTATATTTCACCCTAGCTAATTTTTCAAAATTTCCTTTAAAATACATTTCACCCCAACTCTTTGCTTCTGAGTATTTCTCATTTCCAATTAGTGTTCTTCCCAATTCCAAATCCCTTGTATTTAGATATGCTGTTCTTGGGTTTGAAACAAACTTCCCCATGTAATCATAAACACCATTAACCCAATCAAACTTTATCTTCTCTGCAGTTTGGTTAGGATGATGCCACAGTGCAAAGTATTGTAGGTTATACAAAACTCCTTTTCTATGTGGAAATGGAATTGCATCCTCTAATATTTCACTCATTCTTCCACCATGAGGGGTCAAAATCACAAGTCCATCTCCTGTACTTTTGAACACATTCCATAACCCTTGTAATGCTTTTTCTGATAGAGCCTTTGTCACATAGTCTGATTTGGTTTTGTAAAATGTAAGTCTCTTTTCCTTATTCCTTTCTAACAAATCTTCAATTCTTGAATCTTTTCTATAACTATCTATCCTTATTGTTGAGTTAATCCAGCTCATCTCTTCACAATCTTTAGACTTTAACTTCAATTCTGGGAATTTCTTTCTCATTAGTCTCCGAAGATGATGCTTTCTTCCTAAATATAATGAGTTAAATGAAGCTAGTATCGATGGTCTCCCTAAAGAGTCCTTTTTAGGGTTTATGTTTATTCTTAGGAAAAGCTCCTTAGGGAATTCCATTACTAGTTTTTGCCATTTTTGAACAAGCTTAGTAGCACCTTCCTCCTGAGTTCGAGCAACGGTGAAGAGAGTGACCACGGGTGGTACCTCGACTAGTTGTAACTTCCAAGATAGAACCACCCCAAAACTAGCTGCTCCACCACCTCTGATTGCCCAAAATAGGTCTTCTCCCATGCCTCTCCTATCGAGAATCGTGCCATTAACGTTGATGATGGTGGCATCGAGCACGTTATCTGCTGCGAGGCCGTGTTTTCTCATCAAAGGTCCTTGTCCACCACCACTTATATGACCTCCAACACCTACTGAGGGACAAGTTCCAGCTGGGAAACCTAAGATATTACTCTTATTACCAATGTTGTAGTAAAGTTCCCCTATAGTAGCTCCAGCTTCTACCCATGCAGTCTTTTCTTGCACGTCGATATCGATCTTTCGGAGACTAGATAGGTCAATTAGGCAATAAGGTTTGTAAGAAATGAATGAAAGACCTTCATAGTCATGTCCACCACTTCTAATTCTACTCTCAAATCCTAATTTTTTGCAACAAATCATAGCTCCTCTCACTTGCTCTTTATTTTGTGGCACAATTATATAGTATGGTTTTGGGACATGGGAATTATTGAACCTAGCATTGTGTATAGATGATTCAAGAATAGATTGGTAGTTTTTTGACCCTACAGCATGGACAATATTATGGTGTGGTTGATTGTCAGATTCATTAGAGAGACATAATCCATAAAAATTGTTATTGTGAGAAGTGACTAAGTAAGGAAGAAAAAATAGGACAAACAATAATATTGAATCAAGAGTGACCATTTTCTTAAAATTTTGTTCATTGTTTACTTTTTCAGTTAGAAATTTATTTTATACTGTGTAATAGATAAGATAAGTTATCTAAATAAAAGTTAATACTTTCATTGAACCTAATCCCATTACCATTAATAACCATATTAATTCAAATAACCTTAAGTAAAAATTAATGCTAATCTTTTTTTAAAAAAATTGGCTTGTTTGTTGCTTTTGATTTGGGGTATTAAGAAAGAACCTTGAATTCCATTAATTTATTCGCGTGTGTGTTGCGTGCATGAATGAATAAATAGTAGTCGATTGTTAAAAGGATGACATAGGCACTCAATCAATGTACTATTGACGTTACTATATTCTATACTCAAGAGGTTAACCTGGATTTGAAGATTTTGAATGCACCAATATTATTCTAGCTCAAATATGAGCTCTAATAATGAAAAAGGCCAACCTGAATTTGAAGACTTCAAATGCACCAATATTATTCTAGCTCAAATATGAGCTCTAATAATGAAAAAGGAATTTAGCTGGATTTGAACCCTGATCTAATGTAGTTTCTCTAGCTTATACCAACCAGCACAAGGATACAACTATGTTTTTTATGGATGCACTGTTAAATATATCGTAGTTTCTGCTAGTTTCTCAAAATAAATATACGTATGATTTTTTTCAAAGTTAGCGGGTGCACGTGTATCCCTCTTAAATGTGTGGGTCTGCCTCTAACTATAGTTTTGTGTTTATTTTTTTTTGCTTACTTTTCATCAAATTTATTAATTCTGTATTCTTTTTTTTTTTTGGTTTCCACTATCCGGTGTTCGAAGCTTACATTGAAACCTCGATTACATTTGGATCGCGCACTGTAGAGTCCATTCGGGATCTAAGACTTGTAAAGGGTTCCTAATCTGTTAGCTACTCGGAACAGTGATGTCGCCTCCTTTCTTCAATTTTTGTTTCCTCCGCCTTCTTCTTAAAGTGATCGATCAGTGTTCATCCATGTCATGAATGTTCAAATCTTGTTTATGCAGGCTCTGAAATGTATGTATTGTGGTTTGTGTGTTAGACTCATTTTTACTTTTCCGTAATTTTCATTTACTTCCGGGTGTATGTTCCGATGGATAAGTGTTAGTATGTGACCATCTCATCTAAAAGCTAAGTGGTTACAGAGAGCATATAATTATATTCTCAACACACCTCCTCACGTGTGGGTCTGATTCTTTTTTCATGGGCTAAGTACGTGAAAATTCTTTTTGATAGGGGTGACAGTTAAATTTAATCTCAGGACATGTGTCTGTTATCTCATGTATTCAGGTTAGTCCAATAATACAGAAACAGAAAGTAGATGAAATAGACAGAATGATTTTAATCCGAGTCCACAGAAACCACTGTGTTTCCTTAAGAAATTTAATCCCCTCATTGTACCCGAGGTTGCAGATTAATTCCTCCCAAGATAAAACGGATTAACCTGTTAAAGAAGTAGCGGTACCTCAAACTTCAATAACTTCAGCGAACGCAAGAACAGCAACAAGAGCACACACAGACTCAGTCGATCGACAATTTTGTTTATGTAAGAAAATGTATGTAGAGAGGAAAAAATTTCAGTGATGAAAACCAGAAAAAACATCCCTATTTATAGCCATTTACAGCACGGAATGCGTCTGTTCAGACCCATTTTTTCCAGAACGTTGTGTCTTTTGGGAAAAGTAACGACTTTTCGGAAGGAAAACCGTTTGGAAAAGTAAAAGGATTACCGTTACACGTGAATTTCAAATAAATTCAGTTGCGCCAAATTAATTATGTTAGTTAACTAACATTCTGAATTAATTTATAAGAGAAAGGAATATTATCAATCAATCACATCATTTGCCAAATCCAAATCCAAATCCAAATTCGAAGCCGAGGTCGAGCGACGACGGCGCGAGGGAGCACCTTCTTCTTAACCCTTTAAGAACTAAAGGAAGTGTTTCCTAATATAAGGACAACAATTTCCTCTCTTCTACCGATATGGTAAAAATGACTATTCATTTGCACTTTTGCAATGACTTTTCATTTTCCCTCCAAAATTGGTTCCCCCATTTTCATTGGTTCTTCCACTTTCCATTTTCTCTTTTTATTTCTCATTCACACCTTGCTAAACCCAACAATCCCCCACATGAATGGGGAATGGCTATTGTTAAAAAATATGCATGAAAAACTTGTGTGTCTCGTAGGTAAGGGTTAATCGCATCTGGATAAGTAGGTTTCCCTTTAAACTTTCCGTAGTGAACATATATCGGATATACTCGGTCAATCGGTATATTTGATATCTTTGAACCGTCGAGCTTTAGTGTATACCTAGACAACATAAGTCACACAATCAACCCTTGAACTGTTTTTGGTTCTCATTGTTTTGTTCGTTTCAGCCATGAACACATCTCGGTTAATAAGTGCTTAAAGAACTGGCCTTACCGGATTTTCCTTGAAGCGGCTTACACTTCACACTTACATAGGTGGTTTCTAACTGTGTTATCCCGTAGATACACTATTTGATATACCCTGTATCAAACTTAGAAACCATTAAAAAGTCCTTATGCCTTTATCCTGGTTACTGAACATTGTCTCATCATGAGAATGGACATAAAATAAATTTTGACAATGTTGAACCGTCATTTATGACTTTGTTTTATCTCCTTGAACCTAGATCTTGGGATCTCCAGTCTTCTAGGTAGAGTTACCGCCACTATGACTTGTTCTCGTCCATAGTCCCATTCCCGTCGATGATCTCTCAACTCCCTCTCTAGTTAGGCCTTTTGTAAGTGGATCCGACACATTATCCTTTGACTTTACATAGTCAATTGTGATAATTCCACTAGAGAGTAGTTGTCTAACAGAGTTATGTCTTCGTCTTATGTGACGAGACTTCCCATTATACATAACACTTCCAGCCCTTCCTATTGCATCTTGACTATCGCAGTGTATGCATATAGGGGCCATTGGTTTGGGCCAAAACGGAATATCTTCTAAGAAATTCCGGAGCCATTCAGCTTCTTCACCTGCCTTGTCTAAGGCAATGAATTCTGACTCCATTGTAGAGCGAGCTATACATGTTTGTTTGGATGATTTCCAAGATATTGCTCCTCCACCACTAGTGAAAACATATCCACTCGTGGATTTGGTTTCAGTTGACCCAGTAATCCAATTTGCATCACTATATCCTTCAAGAACTGCTGGATATTTGTTGTAATGCAAAGCATAGTTTTGAGTGTCTTCTAAGTACCCCAAAACTCTCTTCATTGCCAACCAATGATTTTGATTGGGATTACTTGTGTATCGACTCAGTTTACTTATAGCGCAGGCTATGTCTGGTCGTGTACAATTCATGACATACATCAAACTTCCCAATACTCTGGCGTAATCCAATTGAGACTGACTTTCACCTTTATTCTTAGCAAGATTAAGGTTTACATCAATTGGGGTCTTTGCCTTTTTGAAATTCAAATACTTGAACTTTTCAAGTACTTTTTGAATATAATGAGATTGAGACAATGCTAGACCGTTAGGAGTTTTGTGAATCTTTATTCCCAATATTAAATCGGCTACTCCTAGATCTTTCATATCAAACTTACTAGCAAGCATACGCTTAGTAGCTTTTATATTGGCAATGTCCTTGCTCATTATCAGCATGTCATCCACATATAGGCATACAATGACTTCCTGATCCGTAGTGTCTTTAATGTAAACACATTTATCACACTCATTGATCTTAAATCCATTTGACAACATGGTTTGATCAAACTTTGCATGCCATTGTTTCGGTGCTTGTTTTAGTCCATAAAGTGACTTAACAAGTTTGCATACTTTCTTTTCTTTGCCGGGAACTACGAAGCCCTCAGGCTGTTCCATGTAGATCTCTTCCTCCTGCTCTCCATTTAAGAATGCGGTTTTCACATCCATTTGATGGATTTCAAGACCGTATACTGCAGCTAGGGCAATTAACATCCGAATTGATGTAATCCTAGTCACTGGCGAGTATGTGTCAAAATAATCAAGACATTCTTTCTGTCTAAAGCCTTCGACAACAAGTCTTGCTTTATATTTGTCCATAGTTCCATCATCTTTCATCTTCTTTTTGAAGATCCATTTTGAACCCAAGGGTTTGTTCCCTGGAGGAAGATCAACCAACTCCCAGGTATGATTGCTTAAGATTGATTCAATCTCACTATAGACAGCCTCCTTCCAAGAGGTTAAGTCACTAGACAACATCGCTTCCTTGAATGTTTGAGGCTCACTTTCATGAAGGAATGTTACAAAATCAGATCCAAATGAAGTAGCTGTCCTTTGACGTTTACTGCACCTTGGACTCTTTTCATTGGTTTCATTCTCTTTTGGTTCTTCTCGAGGTTGTTTAGACCCCCCACTAGATGACTCAAGTCTAGTTTTATACGGATATATATGTTAAAAAAATTCAGCATTATCTGATTCCATTACCGTATTATCATGAACATCCGGATGTTCGGACTTATGAACCAAAAATCGACATGCCTTACTATTTGTGGCATATCCAATGAATACACAATCCACAGTCTTAGGCCCTATTTTCACCCTCTTAGGTATAGGAACCTGGACCTTGGCAAGACACCCCTACACTTTGAAATATTTCAAGTTGGGTTTTCTACCTTTCCATTTCTCATATAGAATAACATGTCTTTGTATGAGGTACTCTATTGAGTATTCGATTTGCTGTAAGGATAGCCTCCCCCCACAAGTTTTGTGGTAAACCTGAACTTATAAGTAAGGCATTCATCATTTCCTTTAAAGTTCGGTTTTTCCTTTCCGCAACTCCATTAGATTGTGGAGAGTAAGGAGCATTAGTTTGATGGATTATTCCATTTTCCAAACATATTTCTGCAAATGGAGATTCATATTCTCCACTTCTATCACTTCGGATCATTTTGATCTTTCTATCCAACTGATTTTCAACTTCAGTTTTATATTGCTTAAATGCATCTATTGCTTCATCCTTACCATTTAGCAAATAGACATAACAATATCTAGTGCAATCGTCAATAAAAGTTATCCCACCACGTGTTGGTGTTGAATTCATGTCACAAATGTCAGTGTGAATCAGTTCTAAGGGATATGAATTCCTTGCAACAGATTTATAAGGATGCTTAGCATACTTAGATTAAACGCAAACTTTACATTTTGATTTATTGCACTCAAATTTAGGCAAAACATTTAAGTTAATCAGTTTTCGCAAGGTTTTGTTATTAACGTGTCCCAAACGTTCATGCCATAAACATTTAGACTCAAGCAAGTAAGAAGAAGCAGAATCTTTATTCATATCAACTGCAATTACATTGAGTTTAAAAAGGCCCTCAGTGAGGTAACCTTTTCCTACATACATCTCATTCTTACTTACTACAACTTTATCAGAAACAAATACACATTTGAATCCATTCTTAGTCAGAACTGGTATAGAAACTAGGTTCTTTCACAATT